GATTAAGGTTACATTAAGATTAAGAATAGATTCGGTTAGATTAGGTTAGATTAAGATTTATTAGGTTAGATTAGATTAAGGTTAGGTTAGATTAAGGTTAAGATTAGATTAAGATTTAAGGTTGCGATTAAGATTACGGATAGATTAAAATTAAGATTAGATTGGATCAGGCTAAGATTAAGATTAGGTTGGACTAGATTAGATTAAGATTAGATTAGATTAGATTAGGGTTAAGATGAGATTCAGATTAAGATTAAGATTAGATTAGATTAGTTTAGATTAAGATTAAGATTTGATTAGGTTAGGTTAAGATCAAGATTAGATTAGATTAGATTAAGATTAAGATTTGATTAGGTTAGATTAGATTAGGTTAAGATTAGATTTGATTAGGATAGATTAAAAATTATATTAGATTAGGTTAGATTGGATTAGATTAAGATTAGGTTAGGTTAGATTAGATTAGATTAGGTTAGATTAAGATTTAAATTAGATTCAGATTTAGGTTAGACTGGATTAAGATTAAGATTGGATTAGATTGAGATTAAGATCAGATTAAGATTAGATTAGATTAGATTAGGATTAAGGTTGGATTAGATTTAGATTAAGATTAAAGACTAGGTTAAGATTAGGACTAGATTAGATTAAGGTTGAGATTAGATTAGATTCAGATTTAGATTAAGATTAGATTAGATTAAGATTAGATGGGATTAAGGTTAGATTAGATCAAGATTAGATTAAGATTAAGATTAGATTAGGTTAAGATTAAGGTTAAGATTAAGATTAGATTAGATCAAAATTTCGATTGGATTAGATTAAGATTAAAATTAGACTAGATTAGATTCAGATTACGTTAGACTAGGTTAGACTAGATTAGACTAGGTTAAAGTAGATTAGAGTAGGTTAAGATTAGACTAGATCAGAGTAGATTAGAATAGATTAGACCAGATTAGAGTAGGTTAGAGTAGATTAGATGAGATTAGACTAGACAAGGTTAGAGTAGATTAGATTAGGTTAGAGTAGATTAGATTAGATTAGTAGATATCAAAACTATTAGTAGACAATGGGTATCAGATCAGACAGCAAGTAGAGGAGATCAGCAAATCAGTAGAGAACAGACAGTAGATCAAGACATCAACACGTAGGTGAGAAGATCAGTATCAAAAACAATGGATCAGTAGGATCAGAAGATCAGTAGACCCACCCTAGGTGAGAAGATCAGTCAATCGTTCAAACGTTCAACCATTGCATCCTGTGTCAATTCGCTTCGTTCATTTTTCATTCATTTCAGCTTTCATAAAGTCAGTCTTTCAGCGATCCGCTTCTTCATCTATCCCCTTGATTCTTGTCAAGTAACTTCAATCCAACTGACCTTGACAAGAATGATGCCGTCAGGTGCGGGAACTCTTCCCATAGGTGCCCCTGTCGCTAAAACACAGTCCTATTTATGAAAGGTCCGCCCTGCCTTGCGCAAGTAGCAGTAGTACCGCACAAGGCGGTGGCGGAAGTTTGAAAATAGGAAACCTATAGGAGAGCTTGGTTGTTGTGAATCAGGGATGGCAGAGCGAAGCCACTCATGGACCGACAGGTGGTTGAGGTCTCTTCTCTTTCTCTCTCTTTCTGTCTCTTTCTCTGACTATCTACCTACCTACCCACCCATCTATCTATGTATCCATCTATCTCTCTCTCTCTCTCTTTCTCTCTCTGTCTGTCTGTCTATCTATCTATCTATTTATCTATCTATCTATCTGTCCATGTATCTATCTATTTACCTACCTATCTATCTATCCATTTATCTGTCTATCTGTCTAGCTATCCGTCTATCTGTCTATCTGTCCATCTGTCTATCTATCTGTCTATCTGTCTATCTGTCTATCTATCTATCTATCTATCGATCTATCTATCTATCTACCTATCTGTCTATCTGTCTGTCTGTCTATCTGTCTTTCTATCTATCTTTCTAGCTAGCTAGCTTGCTAGCTATCTATCTCATCTGTCTATCTAACTATGTATTTTTCTATCTACCTATCTAGCTATCTACCTATCTACCTGTCTATCCATCTATCTATCTATCGATCTATCTATCTACCTATCTATCTATCTATCTACCTATCTATCTATCTATCTATCTATCGATCCATCTTTCTATCGATCTCTCTCTCTCTCTCTCTGTGTCGGTCTGTCTATCTACTTATCTATCAACTAAGCAATTTTGCGAGAATTCCTCAAATTTTGAACTTAACACTTAACAACGTCAAAAACGAAACAACAAGTCTGCGAGACTGCTTCATTTTCTGAACTTGACAACATCCAAAACGAAGCAATTCTGCGGGACTTCTTCAATTTGTGAACGTGACAACATCAAAAAAGAAGCAATTCTGCGAGACTTCCTTCAAAAATGGAAAGTTGAGTGCAGAGCTGATGGCCACGTGCCAATGCGTTTTGCGATATTGCCAGTCCACCTCTCGAAAGTACTGCACCTGCCACGAAAAAGTGATGGCAGGTCATACGAAGTGCTGCACCTGTCACGCAAAATCATCTCAGCAAACCTGAAGATCTGATGCGCCAAAATGCAACCCGTCTCAGGAAATCACGGCCCGGACCTCCTAACATCTCCGATGAAGATGTCTCTTGTATTGCCCCTGCCACGGAAAATGTATCTTTGCAAATCCTCTTCACATGTCCACGCCTGCCGAAATGCCACAAAACGTCAGGCTCACTTTTAACAAGGTGCAGAATCCCTTGCGCCTGCCACGCGAAACGACATCTGAACCTCCAAAAGTGGTCCGAACCCCTGGTGTTTTTAACATTTTGACTTCGAAATGTGCTTCGCGCCACAACAGCGTGTACTTTTTCGACATCTCAACTTCCAAAAGTGGTCCGAACGTGGTGTGTTTTGACATTTTGACTTCGACATGTGCTTCGCGCCACAACGGCGTGCACTTTTTCGACATCTCAACTCCCAAAAGTGGTCCAGACCTAGTGTGCTTTGTACATTTTGACTTGGAAATGTGCTTCGCGCCACAACGGCGTCCACACTTTTTCGACATCGGAACTAGTAAAAAAGGTGGTCCGAAGCTGGTGTGCTTTTGTACATTTTGACTTGGAAATGTGCTTCGCGCCACAACGGCGTGCACTTTTTCGACATCGGAACTAGTAAAAGTGGTCCGAAGCTGGTGTGTTCTGTACATTTTGACTTCGAAATGTGCTTCGCGCCGCAACGCGTGCAATTGTTCATCTCTCATCTGGCCAGATGGCTCCGCACCCGCCGCTTTAGCGAGCCTACTTTTCGACCCTCCGGAGTCACACATCAGTGGAAAAAGGCAGTGTTTCGCGACTTTCTCACCTTTGTGCGCATCTGCATCTTCTTTCTTCTGACTCTTCCTCTTCTCTGATCTGCTCTCTTCTACTCTTCTCTTCTCTCTGCCTCTGCCCATCTCTGCTTTTCATCTGTCCAAACTTCCTTCGACTACTGGTATATAGAATATTATATGATGTGGTATGGCACATGGTATGGTATGGTATGACTCGAAATAGAAATACCAAAAAAGTAGAAGTGAATATACTGCAGTTAACTAAAAATTAAAAAAGGTTGCATACCTGCATCTTTCCCCATGCTGGTCCATCTGTTTTCACAGACCCTCTAGAATTTGTTTCCCTCATGGAACATATGGAAGATATGGAAGATCTGGAGAATTTGATCAGAATGGCCTCGTTGAAGTGGAACGAGCATGGCAACGGTCGCCACGGCCGTGTCGGAAGGTCCCACGGCGAAGGCGGCTCCTGGGATGGTGAAAAATTCTACGTTGTCTTTACAAAAAATTGTGTATCCCCATGCATGCTGCTGGCACATGGATGGCGGACGTACCCGTTCTGTACTTTTGTGGTATGCGTGCATCCGGAAGGGACACCCGCAACCAGACACAATTTCGCACACATGTCTGTCTCTTTATGTGGGTGTATGTGTGCGTGGGACATTTAACAAATGTAACAAAACAAATCAAAACAAATGATTTTAAACTATATATTTGCCAAAAAAACAAGAGAGCAGCGTTACGAAGGATCCGGAACGAACCGGAAGGACCCGGAAGGACCTGGAAGGACGACCTGGCATCTGTTTCTTCTGTTTCTTCTGTTTCTTCTGTTTCTTCTGTTTCTCTTGTCTCCTCTTGTCTCCTCTTGTCTCCTGTCTCCACAGGACCTGGCCTGGCCGCTCCAAAGGCGCAACCCAAAGCCAAGCCGCGCAGACCCCTGCGCAAAGGCAGAAAAAAATAGTGACCAAATATTGAAAAATGCAGAAACCTATTGAAATAAGATTGAAAACAAGGCTTGGCAGTTGGCCATTGGCCAAGTCATGCCACCCGTCCGCTTTGTTTTCGCAATTCCCTGCTCCTAAACAAGTTCACCCCCGTAGGCCCCAAACAGTTTTTCCATATCCGTTGCAGCGTCCGTGTGCATGTTTGCGCTTATGCTAAAAGTGCTCGACGGCTTGTTTTCCGCCATCCGCTAGGGCCATGATAGGCTACGTCCGACACTTACCCCCTTTGGAGCCGGCGCGCGCTTTCCACAGCTTCTCGTTGCTGTGAAATGCGCTGCCGATACCGCCTTTTGCGGGCAGCAGCATCCGATCTCAATGTCTTCGCGACTTCACTGTCGCGAAGGCTCCAAAGGTTCTCGGCCAGGACCTCAGAGAGCTTGTTGTTGCCCATGAGCTTCATCAGGTCGTCTGCAATCTGCTCATTGCCTGGCACCCATCGGATCATCCTTGTATAAGCCCCGTTCTCATGGAGCGACTCCTTCATCGAGGCCACATCAATGGCCAATCGACCATCATCACCATGATTGGCCCCATTCAAAAGGTCATGCCCAGTTCTGCTGTCCAGGACGGAGACGAGACCCCACTGTCAGCAGTGGATCAGCCACTGCCGAAGGGAAAAGTCCGACACCGTCGCCTCAGCCAGAACTGCTCAAAGAAAGTCTGCCTGGTCCATCGTCTCAGCGGCCTGCGAGACCTCTGCCGCCAAGGATGAGCGCACAATGCGCTTCAGAAGACCAGAATGGAAAACGGAAAAAGATAGGCACTGCTCGGGCCGGACCTTCTGGTCGGCAATCAAAATGACTCCGCGCTGTTGGATGCGCGACACACCGAAGAGAAGATCTCCTCCGCACTCCGCACTGACAAGCCAACCAATTGAGCTGACCACAAATGTGGCCAATCCGCTTCTTCTCCTTGTCGGTCAGCTTCAAGGGCTGAGGGCCACTGGGATCACGGCGCGGAGACTCCACCTTGTGTGGCCGTAGTGGTCCATCTGGATCTCGACCGTGTAATCAGCCAATTGCCCTTCATATCGTCCTTAAAACTTGACCCAATCATCTTGTGCAACAGGCCAACAGGCCACTCACCGAAGTTAAACTTGGCCTTCAGTTTCTCCCAAATCGGCTTGGCCTGCTCGGGATGCCCGATCATGTGGATATCGTCCACGTGGCATGCCAACATAGCAATCACCTTCCCCTCGAGGCAAAATGGGAAGACTCCGGGGATCAGTGCCCATTCCCAGGCACCCATGGACTTGGCGCTTCTTGAACGACAATCGGGGACTTTCCGCCAGACCAAAACCACCCTTGATAAACTGCACCAAATCTCGACCTGCTACGCTGTGTGCCCAAGAACTATTGCACAAAGTCTGGATATCCCTTATCGGAATGGCCACCAATACCACTCTCTTGGGGTCCAAGTTCTCACCCTGAAGGAACGCCCCACTGATGTCCCCAAAGAACATCTTCCATCCAAACTGCGCCGCAAAGAACGCCAGCAAGTTGTGTGCCAACAGAATTGCTGTGGTTGTTCTGGTTTTATTTTTTATTCTATCCACAAAGACCAAAAAAGGCAGACTGGAAATTCCCAAAAAAAACTGCTAGGATCAAAACTGCTAGTGCCAAAAAAACATGGCACAATCTATCTTCAATGGACTCCATTTGTGACCACTGCAACAAACATGTGCGATTGTGTTTGCATGTTTCATGAACAGGTGTAAAGTTAAAGTGGGCGGCTATTGCTTTTTGAGATATACTTTTCTCGTTGAATGTGATTTCATTCTGCGAAACAAACTGAAACGCTGTTTTGAGCCCCAGGGCCTGAATGTCACACACTGATTTCTGTGAGACATGACACATGATTTCCATGTGCAAACTGCCATGATTGTTCCAATGAGTGCTGCATCTGAAGTTTCGCACTCCTCCTAAGCGCAGTGACAGTGAGTTTCAACTTCTGCACTTTCTCCTTTGTTCTTCCAGACCAGTTTGCAACGGATTGCTGCCCGCTCATCCGCAGATTTCTGCACATTCTTTCTCCAGGCTCACCTTCAGTGAAAAAAATCTGCCATGCAATCCTTTTGGAATTGTTGTTCATCTGATTCCCAGTTGTGTCTCGAACTCCTCACCGTAGGCTCTAAACACTCCAGAAATGAGTGATCTAGAGTGATTGTTGGCCCTTCGAAAACGCACGTCCAAGCCTGCCACAACGCCCTGTAGCAGCTGATGGAACTGGATCTCGGTCCGTGGTGTCCCTGGCGTGCCACTGTCAAGCACCATGAAGACAAGCTGCTGCACTGCTGTTTCAGGATCTGCAGTATTTGTCCTTGCATGGATGCCAGTGGAGTGCTGTGTCACAAGCCTCATGTAGCAGTCACCACCCATCACATGTTGCCTCGTTCAGTTGTATACATATGCCTGTTTTGGGCTGCAGAAAGCGCGCTGTATCTGCGAAATCCCTCAATTTCAACCAGACCATAATGAATAGAGCTAGCGTAGTCCTGGAGGAATTCCAAGCCTCGAGCTGTCTCACCCAAACCAAACTCTGCATGAATTAGCCTACCACTGTAGTCTGTGTATGCTGTATCCAGTTCTGCAACTTGAAGACCTAGATAGTAGTGCTGCTCTTCTGCAACACTCATTGCGTGCTTCCATGTCTTGAAGAGCCACCAACTTGCCAGTCCGACAATGACCCATGTGGTCAAAACCAGAAAAATGCAAACGTAGTTGAGGAATCTGTTATCCGTTGCTGCTGCTGTTGCCATTGCGCTACACTGATCTTGAGGACCAAGCGCGCGCACTGTCTCATCCATGTCAGATGAAATGAATTGCCCGTTTGCGCCAGTCGGCCCAAGGCCCATCACTGAGAAACACGCATCTGGTTCTTGGCTACCTGCATTGCATCATTATGCTCAGTTTGTCCTATGACTGTCAAACATTTGTCTTTGCAAACATTCAGCTCATGAAGCAAAACTGTGATTCGCTGCTGAGGCAGCGGCTTGAGCGGCTTGGTGCAAATGTCCGCCACATTTCATGTTGTTGGAAGTTGTTGAAGGAAAACATCACCTGCCAAAACATGTTGTTGCACCCATAGAATCTTTCCATCCAAACGTCGAATCTTCCCTACGCCTTGTTTAGATGCTAACTGTCGAGCTGATGATGAGTCAGTCATCAGGTAGTGGGAAACATCAGCCTTGAGTAAGGAAAGCAAGGCATCTTCGGATGTAGATACCATCGGCAAGAGTGCTCACCATTGCATGCAGTTCTGCTTCACAAGACGAAAGACTGATTGTTCTTTGCGTCCTTGAAGATCCAAACATGAAAAGCCCCGTTTATCAAATGAATGCCAGCGCTAGTACTCTCCCTGCTCCTTGCTTGAACTCCAGTAAGAATCGCTTGCGCTTTCCAGCACCCAAAATGAGGTGTTCGTGTTCTTCCATTTCCCTTGGCCACCTTCTGGTTCTGACATGACAACTGCATAGGTCGAGGTACCGTTGGCATACCCAATGACCTTCTTAAGTCTTTGAAGAGCTGTTACTGTGGGATGAGCCATCTTTGCTGATAGCTCCTTGACACTGAATAGCAGATCAGGCCTGTCTCTCGCCAGATAGAGAAGTCCTCCAACTGCAGACCTGTATGCATAGGCATCATGAGAAACCAAGCTTGCAGACACATCAGGAAGTTGTATTGAGGCATCACACGCTACATGCTATATGCGCACTGGGCCAAAGTGGCCTTCGAAGTCTCAACAAGCTTGTCAATGTTCGTTCCAATTCCAGGGACTAAAGCCCGCTTTCTTTTCAAGAAGGATATTGAACTTCCTTCACCTTCCAAAACTGATGAGCTCACTGTGAACTTTGCCAGTAAACAAGACATCGTCAACGTGCAACATCTACGCTGATTGACCATTTCTGCAAAGGCAAGGCTGTTCAGTGCACCACTCATAGCCATATGTAGTTGAGAGATAGGTACAGAAGTACCAATTTCAGGCTTGCCCTGGCAAATTTCGGGCTATGATGTACTTACGGCCGGCTAGCCACACCCCAAAAGGTTTGGACTGCGGCACACACACACACAAGAAAGCATCCTTGGCATCCACTGTTGCAAAGACATGCTCCGATGCTTGCCTTTCACGACCACGCCTTTCTGCACAACGTTGCAAGTAGACCATCGGCAGCAAGTTCATCACATGAGTTGATGTAGCTGGGCTAAAGCAATCATCTCTGCGCTTCATGAAAGCATACTCGCGAGCCACTAGACGACTGCGACGAAGCCAACGTTTCACCACATCACCATTGGGCAAGGTGAAGTCTTTTGCACGCCAGTCATGCACAAACTTTGTTGCCAAAGATTCCTGAACGCTATCAGGAAAGTGCTCCTCCTAACGAGTAAATGCCGCATGGTTCTTCCAGTCAGCGTCAATCCTTCTGATGCTTCGAGTCAAAACCAATGACTTCCAGCGCACAAAAGAAAACTGTCTTGGCCATCAGTTTTGCCGAAAAACAAGGCTCGGCGCCATTTTGCTGTACCCTTTGCTCCTACACGGAAGTATCCAAACGCTGGTTCTGCAAACTGTGCAATGGATCCTGTGTAGTGTTTCTTGTGAACAAGCGCAAATGGAGTAACATTGCGCACAGCACCATACCGGTTCATCAACCAGGCTGCATGTCTATGTGCCCATGTCCAAAATGGTTTGTGGAAAAATCCTTGCCTATGTACTTCTTCACTGAGTGCATGAGGATTGAAGCAAGAGGTCGAGGCCTGAAGCAAGAGGTCGAGGCCTACCTATCACATTTTCCACCAGTGAGTTTCCATGTGAGTATGCAGGAGGTGTCACTGAACGTGTAGGCAAGCCCATGCTCAACCTTGTAGAGACAACATACTTGAGAAGCTGCCGCATAGTTGGCTCATTGTCACACCTGTAAATCACTTCAGCATGACCCAAACCAGCAGTAAATGACAAGATCTCGCGCGTCATGAGCTCCAGCCGTCCTTTTGACCTCAATGGCACACATCCAACATAACCTGAGGCACTGTCAGTCATGACCAGAAATGGCAATGCTGCAACATCTTGGAGATTTGCTCCTTCAGGAATGGAACGTGTGTATGCCAAATCAATGGAAATTGTTGGTGTATCTGAGGCTCTTGCACCATCATCACGCAATTGTCTGTTTGCATGAGCTTTGAAGCAAACGCAGCTTTCACACCAAGGTTGATAAGGCATGTGAGTAAGTTCATGCAATCTCTGGGCTTCCTCAGACGGTGGAACTGCTAGGGGTGGTGAATGCGGTGTCCCTTCAAGATCAGCTGCAGCTTGTTGAGCTGCATCTCAACGACTCAGGTTCGAGCTTCTTCAAATGATTCACCAAACGTCCATAACACTTTGTCTTGCCAGCAGACTGAGAAATACCATAAAAACTGCAACCGCTTCTCAACAATGCCCAACTGCTTTCAGCTGTAAGCTCCACGCCATTGACAATGACTTTCTATTCAAGACAACCCTGTCAGCAGGAATATCACGTCCATCGGCTAAGGGCGCCACTGCATCTTGGCCGTCGATGTCCCGGCCATGAACTTCACCTTCAGGGGCCATGAGCTCAGGATCTTGCTGATCCTCTTCGCAGGCAAATTGGCTGCATCATCACTCATGTTGAAACCCATCAATGCAGGAGGCTTTTCACCCTCAGTAATGAACGGGAGAACTTCCCTAGCACCTGAGTAACTTTGCAGGCATGTCAATCCAACTGTGCAATGGCTCAAAACGTTCAAGCACATGCCAACAACCATCGTCACCTTTGACCAACGTTGTTCGATTTCTGATGCCATGTTGCAGGACAAAACAAAGTGGGGTCTTGATATGTTTCTGCAAAGCGTCGCCCAATCCCAAGTCCAATTTCATCCAAGTTCCAACCAACACGTCCATGCAAAACTTCGTCTCGCACTGTGGCCTTCACGACCCTAACCACGACAGAAGC